TGTTTAATTTTTTCTTTCATTTTACATACCAACCCCAGTGCGTCCTCCCTCTTCCTATCCCACCCATGTTCACTTTTTGGAGGTAAGGTCTCCCTTTGGGAGTCAACAAAGTCTGGCATACCAAATTGAGGTAGGACCAAGCCCCTCTTCCTGTATCAAGGCTGAGCAGCATATCCCACCATAGAGAATAGGCTCCAAAAAACCAGTTCATGCACTGGGGATAAGTCCTCTTTTCACTGCCAGGATCCCCCCCCCCAACTGATCAAGCCACATAACTGTCACTCAGATTCAGAGGGCCAAGGTTCAGTCCTATGCATATTTCTCAGATGTCAGTCCAGAGTCAGTGAGCTCCCACTAGCTCAGGTCAGCTGTTTCTGTTGTTTCCCCATCATGATCTTGACCGCCTTTCTCATATTATGATCCCTTCACCCTCTCTTCACCTGAACTGCAGGAACTCAGCCTAGTGCTTGTCTCGGGATCTCTGTACCTCCTTTCATCAGTTACTAGATGTAGGCTCTGTGATCACAGGGTAGTCACTAATCTGATTACAGGAGAAGGCCAGTTCAGCCTCTCCACTATTACTAGGAGTCTTACCTGGGGTCATCCTTGTATATTCCTGGGAATACCCCTAGCATCAGGTTTCTCCCTAACTCCATAAGGGCTTCCTCAATCAAGATACCTCTTTTCTTGCTTTTCCTCTCTGTCCCTCCTGCCACTCATCCATCTTGATCCCTCATGTTCCTATCCCCCATCCCATCCCTTCTACCAGCCCAACACCCTCCACCCGGTTTACTCAGGAGATCTTAACTATGTCTCCTTTTTAGGGTCCTCCATGTATATCCTTCTTAGGGTCCTCCTTTTTATCTAGCTTCTCTGGGGTTGTAAATTGTAGCCTGGGTATTCGTTGCTTTATGTTTAATATCCGCTTATGAGTGAATATATACCATGTTTTTCTTTCTGTGTCTGGGTTATCTCACTTAGGCTAATATTTTTCTAGTTTCATTCCTTTGCCTGCAGATTTCAAGCATCATTCTTTTACCACTGTTTAATATTCCACTGTGTAAATATATCACATTTTCTTTATCAATTGAAGGACTACTAGGTTGTGTCCAGGTTCTGGCCATTACAAATAATGCTGCTATGAACATAAGTCAGCTAATGTCCATGTGGTATGATTGCACATCTTTGGATATATGCCCCAAAGTGGTATTGCTGGGTGGGTCTCGAAGTATATTGATTCTCAATTTTAAGGAAAACTTACATATCGATTTTAGAAGTGGTTGTAGAAGATTATACTTTCACCATCAACATAAGTTGTCACCAGTGTTTTTGATCTTAGCCATTCTGACAGGTGTAGATGGTGTCTCAGTGTCATTTTGATTTTCATTTTCCTAATGGCTAAGGATGTTGAGCAGTTCTTATATGTCTTTTGGCCATTTGAGATTCTTCTGCTAAAAATTCTCTGTTTATATCTGTACCCCATTTAATTGAATCATTTGATATTTTGATGTCTAGTTTTTTTTTGAGTTCTTCATATATTTTGGAGATGAGCACTCTTTCAGATGTGGGATTGGTAACAACATCATTGTCATCTAGTAGTTACTCTCTTCATCACTAAAATAAATTATTTCCATTCAATCATGAGTGCTCACATTGCATTCTTACTGATCCTAGATTTTTGTTGTGGATACTAAGGTCTAGCAGAATCAACTGTTATTCACTAGTCATTTCTCAAGTACACCTTTACTAATCAGATTTTTTGGGGAACATCTGGATGTCATTTATCCTGTCTCAGCAGGTACATTGTAATTGGAAATATAACAAATAAAATGTTTTTTTAAATTACTATTCATGCTAACTTCTTTTTCTCCCAGGCAGATGAATAAGCTAGCTTTACATTTTAATTTGTTGAAACTGTATTTTAAAGAAATTGTACATTTAAAAAAATCACATAATAAAGTTAAACAGACCCAAACTCTATACATTTTGATGAATTTCAATACAGTTAGAAATGCATTTTCAAGCTGTAGTGTTTCACATTGAATTTTACCTCCTTACTGTCAAATACATGACAGAGTTAAGGCTAGAAAAAAATAGCTTTATCTTCTTTCAAAATTAAAGTGTGTATCACTTGTATTCAGTTTTTCCTTATCATATTTACCCTTTCTTGTTTGTCTGTCTACATATTATTATGTACTTACATATGCACATGCGTGCTATTAGGAAAACTCAAAATAGAGTTATGTTGAAATACCACCTTGCCTTAGAATGAGTGTCATCAATAAATCTGTCAAGTATTTGAAAGGTGTGAAGAGAGAGAAACCCTTATTCACTCTTGGTAGAGTTACAAATTAATAAAATAATTATGAACATCAGTCTGGAGATTCCTCAAAAACGTTAAAAACAGAATTACCATATGACCCAGATATTTTACCCCTGAATGAATACCCAAGGAACTCCAATCCGTACCATGGAGTTACTTACCTTCCCAAATTTATTGCTGCTTTATTCATTCTAGCAAGGAAATCAACTAATTGTCTTATTAACAGATAAATGGATACTGAATCATATATAGGAATACTATTTAGCTCTAAGGAATAAATAATATTATAAAATTTCATTAAAATGTATGGACTTAGAATGTATAATAATAAATTCCTCATTTAAAAAATGATAAGAAAAGTTTGGAATGAAAGTGATCAGGTGAAACTACCTTAGTGACCACCTGATGCAGAAAACGTTAAGAAGTAAATGTAGAACATTGTTAGTTTACATCATAGAGCACTTCATAAACTTACCTGTCATTGTACATGGAACATAGTAATTTCTGTATCATTTGATTTTGTTTCAGATCAGAGTTTTCATACTGAATACATGTTAGAAGAGAATTTTAGATTTATTCTAATATTACATGTTACTAAAATTATTTTTCCAATTTCTTTTGATATGAAAATTTATAATTGTCTATGTGTTTCTCACATAATTCTATAACAGAACTTGTTTAGTCTCACTAATATCCTTTAAAGACATAATTTTAATGTATGTGCTGCAGAAGCAAGCACTAGTTTGTATTATTTTACACTTTCCAATTTTTGGTTAGAAATAGAAATATCACTAGAAAATGTAGAGGTATATTGATGAAGAGGTATACTGACAAAAACAAATTTAAGATTGTGTGTGGATTGGCAAACACCTACCTCAAATTCGTGCCATGGGTATCATTTATCTTATATGGTATTTTGATGTTTGGAATGATGCCTTAGGAACTCTAGACTTTCTCATATATCAGATGTTCAGTTAGAGTAATTATATTATATTTATTGGGGTGATACAATTGACTCAGATATTTTAGAAAGAATTACCCAAAGGATCTCAACCAAAAGGAGCTTACTAGGGCTGGCAATATAGCTAAGTAATCGAGTACTTACCTAGTATTTGTAAGGCCTTGGTTTCTGTTACCAGCAACTATAAAGACACAAAAAAATGATGCTGATATTAACTCTGTCATGTTCGGAACATAGTGACTAGAAATACTAATCCCAAAATATTGTATAACTTTATATAAATTTGTTTTGAAAATAATATTACATAAAGTTCATATTGAAAAAGATTTTGGTAAAATACTTTGATTTTTAAATTCTAAATATTTTTTCTAATTCTGTGCTTTGCTAATAATCAATTTAAATAACAACATAGTTAAAATGATCTGTGATATTATTTTCATTAGTGAGAAATGTTAGCTCTTGCTAATAAAATTAGGAGGGTGTACCAATTTAGCATTATGGGTCATCAGGATACTAGATATAAATTGGAGAAATTAACCAGTAACCAAAATAGGAATAATTAAATGTGCTACTTTTGTAGTATATTTAGTAATATGCCTAAATATTATGAAATTAATGTATTAATGAAGTGAATCTTTAGATATAAGATCTTCATGGGTTGAAAGAGTTGAAAGAGGTTGATCTTGACATTGTACATGTGGTAGGTATTCTTTTCATTTTGTTACTTGGCTAACATATCATTAACAGTTCCCCTATCCCTCTTCATCCATGATAGGTATCAGACTAATTTGAATTAAGAGGATCTCTGTTATGTTGGGTATACACAGCAATTAACACCTCACTAAAATAAATGATGATCATTTGCATATACTGCACCCTCAGAAATAAAACTTTAGTGGAGGTGCATAGAAGGGGGAAATTTTGATGAGGGAGGAAAGTTGTAACTGTGAAAAATAAACCATCAAGCATGGAGGGAAAAAAGCATGTTTTCTTTGAAGCTAGGTTTGTTAAAAATCTCTGCTCCATGGATCTCGGTGAGGTTGAGACCAGTCTGTTCTACAGCTGGTTCCAGGACATCAAGGGCTACATGGAAACCCTGTCTTGAAAAATAATCTCTGCTCTTAAAAAGAATCATTGTGCTATAAGGAAGACGGGAGACTTTGAATAAGTATGAAGTATTGCCTGACTTTGTGATAGATGAGAAAGTAATAGAGTATAATTAACAGTTTAAATGTTCATTTATATGTAGTCAAGGGGCTATTCAGAATGTATAAGAAAACTGATATTGAAATTTGCCCCTAGGCATGCATTTTCATAATCAGTTTGATAAATAATGAATTATGGGTAACATTTGAACTACAAAGATGACTGATTCATCTTGGTTTTTACTTGAACGTGTGAATGTAGGATAAAAGATGCACATGTGGGGAAAAATGTGTCTGTCACTGTGTGTGTTTGTAAAGTTTCACATATAATTTTTAGCTTATTTCATAAATGAATAATGCTTATATTTCCTAGTAAAATATGTTCATTGAAGTTTAGGTAGATTATTTTTGTGATGAGCATCAGAGCAACAGAGTAGAGTAGTTTGGTGACATTTTAAACTCATCTGAATTTATCATAATAAAGAAGATACTGTAGCATTTAATAGTCATATCACTTCATAAAGACTTAGTAAACAGGCCCTTTCTCACTCCTCGGCCATCTTGGTGGCTGGTCTTGGTTGGGGGCCGTCCCGCACCTAAGACAGGAAGATGGTGGCAGCAAAGAAGACGAAAAAGTCTCTGGAGTCGATCAACTCTCGGCTCCAGCTTGTTATGAAAAGTGGGAAGTATGTTCTGGGATACAAACAGACTCTGAAGATGATCAGACAGGGCAAAGCGAAATTGGTGATCCTCGCCAACAACTGCCCCGCCTTGAGGAAATCTGAAATAGAATACTATGCCATGTTGGCTAAAACTGGTGTCCATCACTACAGTGGCAATAACATTGAGTTGGGCACAGTGTGTGGAAAATACTACAGAGTATGCACACTGGCCACCATTGACCCAGGTGATTCTGACATTATTAGAAGCATGCCAGAACAGACTGGTGAAAAGTAAAAAATTTTCCTTTAATAAAACTTTACCAGAGCTCCTTTTTTTTTCAAAAAAAAAACTTAGTAAACAGTATCAACAGGCACTTATTAATTTTCTCAATACTTTGAGAATAAAGGCTGTCTGTAATTAACATATATTTGTATCTTTGAATTTATTAAGTTTTCTTACAATTCATATGACTTATTTTTATTTTATATCTTGTACAAATCTCAAAATCATGCAAAGTAGTGTTAATTATAAATCTCAATGTGTTCATTCAGATTCAGTAATTATCAGTGTATAGCTAAAGTGGCTTTATCAATACTGACACCAATTTATCTCCTATTACGTCTTCTTTTGCAGAAAATTTCAGTTATTTCATCATTAAATAATTTAAGGACAAGTTAAAGATTTACAAAAGAAACACTTAAGTTCTAAAATCTGACTTTTTGGGTAATGATTTGTGTATTTTGGTCTGGAGAGATTGATCAGTGGTTAAGAGCACTGGCTGCTTAACCAGAGGACCCAGGTTCAATTCTAAGTATCCACATGATAGTTGGTCAAAACACTAACACCAGTCCAAGTGGATCCACTGCCCTCTTCTGACATCTGCAGTCATCAGTACACAATAATTTATAGACACACAGGTGGTGCACAGACATATATTCAGGCAAAACACCCATACACATAAATATACAAAGAAATATATTTTACATTTTAGTGAATTTTAGTTTTCAGATTTTCACATTCAGACTGTTCAGGTGGGTAAAATCTGAGCATATAATTAAAATCTTAAAAACCTCCAAACTTTGAAATAATTATAGTCCCAAATATATGCATAAAGTATATTTAATATGTATAAATGAAACATGGAGATTCTTCATTTTTTTGATTTAACTTTAGAACATGCATTTAGTGTGTGTGTGCATGCGCGGGCATGTTTACATGTGTGCATGTGTGCATGCACGCAAGTGTGTTGCTGGGTGTGTGCTTGCCTGGTTTGTGTTTGCAAGTGAGAGGACAACTTGTGAGTTTCAATTCTCCCTTGCTACCACATGGAGTCCAGGCTTGGTAGCAAGTGTGCTTTTTTGCTGAGCCATCTTCATAGACCCTGTTTTGATTTTTTTCTTTAATTGAAGATGAATTTTTTTCTAATATGCTCTATCCTGATTATGATTTCTTCCCCCTGCTCCTCTGAGTTCCTTTCTAGCTCCCCTCCTATCCATATCCACCTTTTTCTTCATCTTATTTGAAAACAAACAGGATTCTAAGAAATAATAACATAAATTATTTACTATAATATATAAAACAAAAACTAACATTAGAAAACAAACAGAAGGAAAAGATCAAAGAAAAGCCACAAGAAACAGATATAGATGAACTCATTCATTGGCAGACTTTGGTATATGCCACAAAACTTGACGTCATAATATATGCATAAAAGGACAAGTAAAGAGAAAGTAATTGTGTATATGCATGTGTACGTATATGTGTGTAATATATATTATGTATGTGTATTGTATACAACTAAAATTTAAATATATGATGAGTTAAAAAAAAAGCCCAGACATGACATTATTTGAAAAGGACCTTCATTGAGTGTGTTTTCTTTTGGCATTGAATGTGTTTTCTAAAAATGCAGCCTACCCTTACGAGTAGTTTGTTTCCCCAGTGAGACTCAAGGATGAAGAAAACTAAATTCCTATTTTGCAAGTGATCATCAGTTAGAGAGAGCTTCTGGGGAGGGATGGGGATATGTGTTGACTTCTCCTTTCACCTATAGGACCCAATCTGGTGCACACCCATGCAGGCCTTGACCATGCTATGCCAGTCTCTATTCATATGTGCATCAATCCTATTGATTTAGAGACTCCTATTTGCATAGTGTCCTCCATCCCATCTGGCTCTTATACTCTTTCTGCCTCCTCTTGCAAAAAGTTTCCTCAGCCCAGAAGGGAGGAATATGATAGTTCCAAGTTATCTCTATCATATTGTATGCCTGTGGATATCTGTATTTGTTCTCATTTGCTGCAGGAGGAAGCTTCTCTGATGATGACTAACCAAGGCACTGATCTATGAGTGCAACAGAATGTCATTAGGAGTAATTTTACTGCAATGTTCTTTTAGTAGAAAAGTAATATTTGGTTTTATCCTAGGTTATTGGGCTATATAGTCTCGAAGTCTTGGTCTCCCAAGCAATGTTGGTTATGAGTTCCATCTCATGTAATGGGCCTTAAGTAAAATCATATTAGTTGGTCATCCCTATAAGCTTTGTGTCACCATTGCACTAGCATATCTTGCAGGCAGGACATTGTGGTGTGTTCAAAGGATTTGTAGCTGGGTTTGAATTTATGTTTCTTTTTTGATAGTATGCAAAGTACCGTCCTGTACCAAAGATACTAGCACATATGGATAAAGACTGTGAATTGTGCATGTGATCTCTTCAGCAGCAGACCTTGCTGTTAATTGGTATAAAGCAATCAAGAGTCTTGGCAGCAGCCTGGGTTGTTCATGTATTTCCATGAAACCCTTTTGTCCAACAATGTAATTAGATGTAAACCAATCCCAGGACTAGAATCTTAATTTGGTGTTAGGACTCTGTCTTTCCCAGACATTTCATTTAGATTAAATTCACATGTGTATATATTTTAGGAAGCTTCTACTGTATTTCCATACTACCACACAAATGGCTCTCAAAAGACAATTAGCTGTCTTTCCTTGTATTCCTTCCTTTGTTTCCTTCCCCACTTGTGTCTCCAATTACAGTTTCCCCACCCCATCCATCCATCACTGTCTGTCATATTTACTTTCCTAGGAATATCTGTCTCCTTGCCACAGTACTTTATATTTTATATCTATATATAATATATGACCTATATATAACCTTGGTGGTTTTATTGATTGTGGCTTATTTAATATTGATTTAAGAGCTAGTATGCAAACCATATTTATTGAGCTCTACATTTTTCTCTGCTCCCATCCCTGCCTTTACCCTCCCCTCCAACCCTCTCCTAAGGAGCATTTCTTTAAGTGCTTCTAAGCCATTTGAGTTTACTATATTGATAATTCTCTTTATATCTGTAATTCATTTGTAATTGAGTTGTTTTCTTGATCCCTAGTTTTTTAGTTCTTTATTTTATTTTTGATATTAGCCCTATATTAGATGTGTATTTGACAAAAAATATTTTTCCATTCTGGAGGCTGCTGTTTTGACTGAATGACAATGTTCTTTGCTGTGTGGAAACTTTTTAGTTCCATGATGTCCCATATGTTATCTGTTTATTTTCATGCCTGTGTTAATAGTGTTCTATTTAGAAAGTCTTTTCCTATGCCAATGAGTTCAAGACTATTCCCTATTTTCTTTTTTATCATATTAAAAATCACAAAGATTATAAAAATAAAATTATGATACACTTCTATCTATGGTTGCTTTTAAATTCTTTATTTTATAACATTCTGTAGTAGGAGCGGCGGGGCTGCCTACCTGCCACCCAGCTCCCGGCTGCCTTTTTGTAGTAGGAGCTACACGCTGTGTTCTGCTGCCTGGCTCTTGGCCACTGGCTAGCTTATGCCCCGAAATAACAACACACAAACTGTATTCATATAAACACTGCTTGGCCCATTTCTATTAATGTGTGTAGCACCACGAGGTGGTGACTCACCAGGGAGATTCTAGCCTACGTCTATCTTGGGTAGGAACTTCATTGCATCTGCCCTGGAGAGCAGAGGCATGGGTCTGAGCTCACTTCTTCTTCCTCCCAGCATTCTGTTCTGCTTACTCCACCCACCTATGTTCTAACCTATCAGGCCAAGCAGTTTCTTTATTAATTAACCAATGAAATCAACAGGTTGATACGACACTCCCACATCAACATTCTTTTGCTGTAATATTTTCTCGTTTGTCTTACATTTTTTCTAAGATGATTCATTTAACTAGGAATTCAAATATGCTCCTAAACTATAGTTGGTTAAAGTCTTTTTTAATCTTACTTCTCCTTTTCTTTATTTTTCCATTCTAATTTATTGTAATTGAAAAAACTAAACTTCAGTTTTATAGAATCTTTTATTACATTTATTTTCCCTATATACCTTTTACACTGGTATTTTATAACAAATATATACTTTAAACAAGCTATTTTTGTTCTTTTGAATTTGTCTTAGAGTTTTGATTGCTTTGAAGAGACAATGTGACCATACAGTTATAAATGAAAACATTTAAATGGAGGGGCAATCTTAACAATTTCAGAGGTTCAGTCCATTATTATAATGAAGGAGAGTATGGCAGGATGCAGGCACATGAAGTGCTGGAGCTGAGAGTTCTACATCTTGACTCAAAGGCAACAGGAAGTTAGCTTGAGCAAAAAGTACCTCAAGGTCTACCCTCACAATGACACTTTCTCCACCAAGGCTATGCCTGATAATGCCACTCACTTGGGGGGGGGCATTTTCTTTCAAACCACCACAGAGATCTCTCCTAAACACGAAATTTTTATGCTTATAATTCTTCAAATACTAATTCTATATTAAATTTGCTGAACATAGCATTAGATAGAATCAATGGAAATACCTCAGGTCACTTTAGCTTTTACTTTTATTTTTGTCATGCATTCATCACATTACAATGAAAGGAATATGGCTCAAAGAATAACCATTTATATGATTAAACAGCGAATTATCTGAAAAAAAAATGGTAGTAGAGAAATGTACTATATTCAACTTCTTACCATTACTGTCTGTTTTAAAGTGACTTTTCAGTTTCACTGAAATATTTATCTTTATTTATATTTAACTTTAATTTACTCAAGACAAACTTATATAAAAATGATAACAACACTACTTTATAAGCACATGGGAATTTTACATTCATTAAATTACTTTTTCTATATAATTTTCATTGATTCTTTTCATCAGAGAATATTTTGATTTTATTATGTGCACTCAGTGTTAAAAATCAAGTCTGCACCAGGTTAGAACATAGAACATTATCAAACCAAAAGTGTAGTAGTGTTTCTTTCAAGAGTAAA